TCCGAAAAACAGTAGTAAATGAAGCCAGGGAACAAAAACGGCAAAAATAAGCTTGGGAACTTAAGTCTCATTTTTGATATATTAATATATAGATATATTAATATATTATTGATATATTATTACCTATATATTAATATAGGCGATATATTAATATATTATTGATATATTATTACCTATATATTAATATAGGCGATATATTATTAATATAGGAGATAAATTCAACACTTGAGAGCAATTAAGAAAATTTGGCCCATCCTTATCCTTACCTTTGTTGCCGTATTTGTTTAAATCGTAATGTGAACAAGTACGACTGTAATTTTGTGTTTTCGCTCAAAATTAGTATAAATATATAATTCTAATAAAAGTAGCAATTTGTACTTTTTTAAATAAGAGTAATTTTCTAGACGGTTTAGAAATAAAACTAAATCAAATAGACGAAAAAATTACGCTTGCAGAAAATCTTCTAAGGTCGTCACGGTCAATTAGTGAGATGGTAAACCTTATTGTTATGAGCAAACTTAATTTGTTTGTCGGTTTATTTCAATTTAGTCCGTCTCCGTTTCCGCTATTGTCCCGTTATTTAAAAAACTTTCAGTATAAGTGATAAATTGGTCATTTTAATTAGAAACTTGTATGTTTATGTTTTGTTGCACGTAAGATCTTGAATTATTCTAGCATTGGTAGGACATCTTTTAAAAAATGAAATTTTATTTTATTTGATTAGCAGCTATAAATTGTTCACTTATAACAAGAAACGTTTAAAAGCAAATTAATCTGTTGTGCCTTTCCTCATGTTCAATTTGAAATGTAATGTTATCATATTAGGCCTGCTTAATAACTGCATAAAAGTTAATAGTGATCGACTTCATTAAACATAATTATATAGTGCTAGTCTGACAATTATATAGTGCTAGCCTGATATTTTATCTATCAAAGTCAGTTATTAGATTTATCAAAGTCAGTTATTAGACACGCATTAATTATATTACGTTACAATTTTTATATTATTTCTTAAAATTATAACTTAAAATGGTTTGCATTTTTATATAATATAAAAATTATAAAATTATTTTGATTTTTTTTTTTATAAAATGCAATAAAATACTTTTTTAATGCACCATTAAATGAAACTTAGTTTCAAACAGTATTTACTAGGCCACTAAATCCAAAGTTTCAAATATTTTAATATATTCATGTGAAACATAAGTTTAATATTAAAAAAATTATAAATGTATATTACAAAGTACTAAATCTAGTATTTTTACTTTTTTGTTGTCATTTTTGTAGTTCATTGCAAGTAAAGTTTGTTGTCTATAGTCTGTTGCAAGTAAAGTTTGTTGTCTATAGTCCGTTGCAAGTAAAATTTGTTGTCTATAGTCCGTTGCAAGTAAAATTTGCAATAGCAAAAGATTAAAAAAGGAAAAGTTCAGAGAAATGATCATTACTATGTAATTTTTATCGTATATTTAAAAAAGGGTTTGAGGTAAGCAACCAATGTCTATATATGCTATTTAAAAAAAAAAAGTTGATTTAAAATGACTTTTTTATTTGTTAAATTTTAACAGGGTTAAAAAAAAAGATCTTTTTTTTAATTTTTAATTCTATGATTAATAACAAAATAGAGAGTATAATGTATTATTTTGAAGTTAAAACTCAATACAAATTCTAATTGTTACTGCAATATTTTCTCTAAGTTGGTAGTTATTTGATATTGGTACTATCAAACTACTGGTTATAAATGGTGTAACTTGTACTAAATTGTTTCAATAATAAAATATGTACCTAAAACAATGATTGTCCGTATATAAATTTGCAATGCAGTTTTATGAGAATCTGATTTTATGAGTTGGAGAAATTTAGAGCTGATAATAAAAAAAAAATTGTGAACCAAAAAAAAGTAGTTTAATTAAATTAAGTTTAATTTCTTTAGCTTAAAACTAATTTAAAATAAATAACTTAAGTGAATAACAAATAGCACTAGTACTCCTACTCATCTGTATTACTGTTGTTAGCCTTATTATTAACTTTTTTTTCAATTATACTTTTTCACTACCAATAAGGCTGCAGATAATGATGCAGACAAGGCTGCAGACAACCACTATTGAGTTGGGATTTTCATAGAACTATTTTTTATAATTTTTTAAGAGCAACAAAAAGCTGAAAAAGAGGCTTCAAAAGAAAAGAGGCTTCATAATTTTATTATGTTGTTTATTATTTTTGATAATCATATACTTGTTAATAAAATTTTAAAATTTATAACCTTTTTTTATAAAAAAATAGTATAAAAAAATTGCTACTAAATTTCATAAAAGAATGGCTGTATCATATTTGCTTTAAAAGTGTTAAGTAATATATTTTTATTTAAAAACTAGATAAAATATAAATAATGTAGATAAAATCTATGACTTTTAAATCAATTTTTTTTTCTTAGAATTTAAGGTCTAGTTGCAAAATTCAGTTGATTTGCCCCCTAAACCCAAATAGGTTTTTAAAAAAAATTAACAGACTAGCTTGTGAGAACCAACAAAAAGTTTAAAAAATAGAGCCACATCGTTTTTTTAAAACTAGGCAGCATTTAATGCACCCTAATGTTTGTATGTATTTGTATTTAACATTTTCATTAATTGCTTTTAGAATCATCTCTTAAACCAAACATTTACAAATTACCTTGGAAATGTTATGATATTTCTATATCATAACAGTTCCAAGTTAATTTTTATGTCATTTTTATAAACCAATAAATAAAAATTAAATACTAATAAATATTTCAAATACATCATTTTTATATTTTCATAAAAGTTTTTGCTTGTTTGTTTTAAATGTATAATTCTGGTTTTGTTTGTTTCTGAAATATATAATTTTTTTGAAGTTTTGTTGGTTGTGCACTTGCCTGTGTAATATTCAGAGATGTAGGTCTTGAGACTTAAGTCTTGGTCTCACAACGTCTCGAGACTTGTATTTAACTATCTTGGTCTTGAAGCTTGGAGTCTTGGTCTTTACTGCCTTGCACTTTATTGATCCTTAAAAAAACTGTCAACATATTGGATGGATTAGTAATTAGTAATAAATTGTTACTACAAGGATTAATATGTTATTTAAGTTATGAAATTAAGTGATACATAGAAGTCTAGAATAGTTTATATAAACTTTACTTTGAATTTTTTTTGTTGGTAACTTAAAAAATAAAAAAGAGTCTTGTCAGCTTTTGTTAGGGTTAGAGTTATGTGCTATTGTTAACTTCAGTGATGATCTTGTGCCATTTTTTCAATGCTAGGTTTCTGTTGTTATTAAAGATATCTTTAACAATAACAGAAACCTGTTAGTTTTCTGTTGCTATTAAAGATATCTTAGTAGACTGGAACAGTTTACAATTTGCAATATGCATAATAATATAATTCTATTACACATGCATAAATATGGTTTATTAGACTAAGACCAAGACTTTTGTGTATCAAAAGTCTTGGTCTTGGGTTGACTTTTTGATGTCTTGGTCTTGATATTGGTCTTGAAGTTTTAAGTCTTGGTCTTGGTTTCAAGTCATCATGTCTTGGTCTTAATTTTGGTCTTTATTGTCTTGACTACCTCTCTGGTAATATTTGCATAGTTGATGAAGCAATGAGTAGGGAAATTACATTAAATTAGGACTTTGTATATTGATAGAACTGCTAACTTTTATACATCACACCATGGTTTAGTAATTTTTAACTGGATATATTTTATTTGGAAAAACTAGGATAAATTTTTATCAACTTTTTAGAGTTTTATACTGATTTGCTTTTTAATTAGTTTATTATTTGACAAAAGTCAGGCATATTACTAAATCCGACTTGAAATCCTTCAATGAAATTTTTTTACTGGTGTTTTTTGATATAAGAATATGATTCAATCTCTCAACATTAGGTGAAATTTTTAAATCTTTAACCAATTGTTTTAGTTGCTTAATCGTTGGAAAGGAATAGATTTGAAAAAAAATCAATTCTTGGGTAACACTGGGCATTCAAGTTTTGAAAAACATAAATATATTTATACATTATAAATATATTGCTTACTATCAGTATGATCGCTTTTTTTCCAATGAGCCATATTAATTATTCTGTAATGCTTTATTTTTAAGAGAAGAAAGCATTCAACTGTGTGAAATGCTTTGAATAAATACTTATAAGCTTCTAATTCAATTCAATTCTAATTCAATCTTTCTAAACTTTTAAACAGAAAACCTTTATGCAAAGTAAATCTTTATCATTTAACTATATTAAAATAAAAGGTCTAAGGACTATCATATAAATACAGCTATTTATTTAGCTTATTATTATTTTTATTATTATTGCTATTATTATTATTATTATTATTATTATTATTATTATTATTATTATTGTTATTATTATTATTATTATTATTATTATTATTATTATTATTATTATTATTATTATTATTATTATTATTATTATTATTATTATTATTACATTATATTTGGCTAACTGCAAATGAAAGTTTAAAAAAAATTTGACTCATAATGATTGATAATAAACTTTTGGTTTATTTAAGTCAACTTTTAAAAGTTAATATTTAATGTTTAATCTTTAAAAAGATAACAGAAAAAAACTTAATAATAATAATTAAAAAAAAAAAAAAAAAACACTTGATGGAAAAAAACATGAGAAATCCAAACATTGCTTTTAATACACTATGATTTGTTTATTTGTAAACCATAAGTTTTTTAGTTGGCATATGTTTTTAATTTTTATTTTATGTTTATCTTTTCATTGATTGCTATTTTTCACAAGGTTTTGAATTTTTATTTTTTTAAAGTTAAATTTTTTAATTGTAAATTTTTTTAAACATTGGTTTAATATTTATAATTTTTTAAAAATAACTTAATCAGTTATCACTTTGTGTTATTTAGATTATGAATGACTTTTCTTTTAAATGAGATTTACCACTTCTATGAAATGATAAATATTTACATAAATCTGATATAATTTTCAACTTTTTTATTATTATTGATTTTTTAAAATTTTTTTGTTATAGAATATTTTTAAAATAAAATGCTTGTAAGGAAACACATGAAGATATTTGAATTATTGTTATTTATGATTTTAATAGGTTTGTTTTTAATTAATATTACTTTTTTTAATTGCATTCTATTTTTTATAGAATAAAAAACAAAACTTTTTTTAATGCTATAATTTTTTTTTAGAAATAATTTCCTCTGAAGATGAAGTTCCACCAAAAGAATGCTATGAAAATAAAGAGATTCAGGATGTAACACGACTTTTTTCAAAGCAAGATATTCCAACTTCTAGTGCTAGTGATATTAATTTAGAAATGGGCTGGTACCGAATAATGGGTGATGCTGGAAATAGTTTGAAACAAGGTTTTGATAAATTTTTAGCAACAGGAAGCTCACCACCAAATTTTTGTGGCACTGAGTTAGCAGGCACATTGATGGAGGAGCACCCTACAAAAGAGGAAGGAATCGTAGAAATGACAGTATGTTTTAGAGCAAGATATTGTTTTTTTAGTAACATACAATTTTGTTTATGCCAAGGAAAGCAAATAATATATGTGCGTAATTGTGGAAAGCATTTTGTGTATTGGTTATTTCCAACGGGTGAAAAAATGAGATATTGTACTGGAAGTATGGGAATGATGGGTGCACCAAGTATGTATTATTTTAATTATTTATGTTAATATAAGTATTAAATTTCTTTTTGAAGATCTATACTTTTAATTGCAAACTGTAATAAAAAAAAAATAAAATATACTAACAGGGTGCTTGATAATAACAGTAGTTTTTTGCTGTTATTTTAACAGTAGTTTTTTTACTGTATTGGGGAGGTGCAATGTTCGCTATTGGGGAGGTGCAATGTTTGCCTGTATGTATTATATTCACTAAGTATGTTTATTATATGGATTATATTTTTGGATTATATTTTATGAATTATATTTTATGGATTATATTTTATAGATTATATTATTTGGATTATATATGTTTATTATATGGATTATTTTTTTGGATTATATTTTATGAATTATATTTTATAGATTATATTATATGGATTATATATGTTAGTTATATGGATTATATGTTTATTATATGGATTCACTTCCCCAATGTTACAGGGACCACTACTTTTTTTTTTTGAATTGTTGATGCGTCCTTTTCCTAACCCTTTTACTTCAAAACACAATTTGTGATGAAGACAAACACCACATGGAGAAACAAGTAGAATGTTGTACCAGGATGTGGTGGGTATCAACCATGCAACATCACTTATACTTTTTATTGAAATAAACAGTTTATATTGAAATACATCTTTGACAAATGACAAAATAATGTTTTTAAATTAAATTATCTTTGATGATTAATGTTAGATATTCTTTATATTTTTCATTGTTAAATATAAAAAATATAAATAAAAATAAATTTTAAAAAGTAAAAAAATATAAATGGTAGTTTATAAAATTTAAAGTTTAAATAAATAAAATAAATAATAGTTTACAAAACAGAAGCTTAGAAAACATTAAACATTAAAAACAATAAAGAGTTAAAAAGCAATAAAGTTTGTAAAAAAAAACCCGATCATTAGAAACAGAAACTTATTTAATTCCTTGAAAACAATAAAGATTATAAAAAAATAAAGTAGGACATTTTTATTCAAAAATTAATTTGCTTTGTTATTAATCTCTTTAAATACAACAAAAAGATTAATATGTACTTTTTAGACACATTTAACAAGGTTCTGCAACAATTGAAGGATATCTTGATTTTTGCATGGATCTGTTGCCTATATCTCATTTCCAACCTTTGCAATTATTGAATCAAGGATGTCTAAGTCTTTGTAACAAATCTTTTGACTTAAATATGATTTTATACAAATTACTGCACCCAACACCTGGTTTGACATTCTGTTTCTCGGCTTGTCAAATCTTGAATGACTGGAGTAAGGAAAACAGCATATAGATAAAGGGTGTCTTAGAACCTTTGGATATTAAGAGATTTTGTAGCTGACTTCAGAGTTTGCATTATTTCAGCACAAACAAAGAATGCTTTTAGTTTTGCAGAAGAAAGTCAACTTGAGATATAATTACATGAAAAGCATTTTGTACCACAATAATTAGAAAATGACAAATGCACCTCATTATAAATACAGTTTGCCAATTTAGTTAATGGAATTGGTGAAGTGAATGAGCGAAATGAAGTTGATGAAATGGCATTTTTGATTTTTTTAGTATGGTAGAGTTTCAGATGTTCCCGGGCCCTGCCTAAACCATACTTAGAAATAATTTGACACAAATGGTCAGCAGTTTAAAATTGGTGAGTTACAACAGATTCGCAGCAAGTTAAATTTCTGCTTTTTTGTTTACATCTGCAATTGTTAATTGACCCAAAAAATTCTTCTTTTGAAACAGATTCAAAGTTTTTTCTCTTTTTATGTGGGAAACTGTTTTTGATGTTGCTCTAAGCTACTTTTGTGTTGGCCTAGATTAATGCAACAGATGCGACAAAACGCTTGTTCAGATGCATTACGGCTTCTTTTTACCCAGGTAAAATTTTTTTTCCCACTCACTTTTATAATTAAAAGAGTTTTTATATGATTTTTTGTTTGGCTTTCTCATTTTGAAGATGCTAATCTGAAATAATCAAATGACTAATAAATTTAGTAAACAATAGGTCTGATCAATTTTTTAAACTAGTGGTTTTAAGAAGAAAGCAAAGATTATTTAGTTGTTAATTGACGACCGTAAGTTTTAAATATAAGCAGAAACATTTTAAGTATTCTTTTCACTTTAAAATGTCTTTTTGAAGTTTGGAATTACAAATATACTTTACAATTGATTTAATTGAAAAAAAACTTTATATATGCTCATAAACAATGTCACGCTAAATTTAATTTTTGAATAGAAGTAGGAGATCATTTTCTCTTTTGCACTAAATTGAATTTCAAAAGTACTGTAAAGTCAATTTTCTGAGTTTGCTGCTGATAGGGTTTTTTCTTGCTTTTTTTTATGTTCAAGTGACAAGGTTGAATAGACGTTATATTATATATTAGAAATTAAACTAAGATTTTTTCTATAAATGTTAATTTTTAACCCTTTTAAATACATTCAAAATTAAAAATTATCACCCAACAAATTATTCAACTTCTTTTATTTAGAATTAGCATGATTTTATCAGCGTATTATGTTTAAAAAAGAGCTTTAAATGTTATAATTTTATTTTGCTTTATGTTTTTTTAATATTTAAAGAAACTTTTCTTTACCCCTAATATTTTAATCTTTTTTTATTACTTGTAATAGTTAATCTAAAGAACACCATTTTGGAGTTTTTAGACCACTTTCGCTCATAGGCATTAACATGAACTTAGTTAAAATCTTTTGAAAAAGTACCTTAACCCACTATAGATCCTAGTTCTAATCAATTCTGATGTATGTTAACTATACATAGTTGTCAAAATACTATATTTCTATCGATTTTCACATAAAATGCTAGAATTTTGTCTAAGAAGCTTATAATTTAGGAGCATCTAAAAAAAATGCCAATAAACGATCAGAACAGATCATATTATTAAACTATAATGTTCGAATAAGCTGTTTGATAGAACGTTAGAACAATAGATTATGTGTACACTCATTGAAATGGGTACCTGCGGTTTACATACCATCAATAGATCTATTGATACTATGTATACCACACTATTACAGATTAGAACTTGAAGAAGTTATTGTTTTTAATCTACCAAATACTTCATGAAAGTCTATGAAAGAGAAAGCAAAAATGAAAGAATACTTAAGGCAACAAGTTTATTTTCCCATTTTTTGTGGTACTTTTTGGGCTTAAAACCAAAGCATTGCCAAGGAAGCAATAGAGTTTTGGTCAAAAGTAGTGATTGTTGACTACTAGAAGTCTTTAACTATGAGTAAGCAATCTGGATATGTTAAATCAGGCTATAATAAAAGCTTCAAACAGTTAAGTGCTCAAACAAAAAAGCGTTTGGTTTCCTTAAAGAAGTTATTTCAGGAGAGGTCTCTTGTCTAATATGACCACACATATCTTCTTCTTTTTTTTTTTTCTTTTTTTTTTTGACAACTTGGCCATGATTTTTTTATATTTTGTGCATTTTTTTAAATTAGTTTTGTCTTTAAAAATTTTTTAAAGACAAAACTAATTTAAAGAGTAAATTAAAAGTAAACAAACCATAAACTGAGAAGATTTAAATAAAATAAATAAATGATAAACCAGAGAAAACGAAAGCATAGAAATAATACACTTTTAAATTTAAAAGCATCTCAATTAATTCAAATCTAATTAATTTAATTTTAAAGCAATTAATACTTGAATGTTAATAATTTTTCCTATATCTCTGTGTTAGTGTAGCGCCTAGGTTAATTTATTTTTACATTTATAAGTTCAAATCTTTTTAACTGATAATTATTTTTTTTAATGTTATATTTGCTTAGTAGACAGAAAATATTAAAGTTTCAAATTAGTGAATAATTAAGTTTTGAAGTAATTAACCTTGGATTAAATAACTCCGAAACTTCAACCTTTTCTAAATTCTAAGAAGTGCAAAATACTATATGTGGTCATATGTGAGACCGCACGCATTTCCTGAGAAGACTTCCTTAAATTTAAAGTTTTTTCATCAGTGACAATCTAAATGCATTCCTTGATATTTATAATTCAATCTTGATTCAATTTTACTATGAAAGTATAAAAATATTCTGAAACAAACTCTTTTTATATTATTTTTTAATATTAGGAAAAAAAACTAAATGTTATTATTTAAATGATAACACCTTTTAATGTTTTTATCTATCATATGTAAATTGTACAATAGAAAAGTTTAATATTAACTAATCGTAATTCCCTGAGGGACAGATACATATAAGGTATTAATTATATATACAAGTAATAAAACAACGCAACTTCCCAAGGGATAAGATAAAAATCTTGATTTTTATTTAATTTTATACTGTAACATTTTTTTTCTTTTAAAACTAAAATACCAATGACTGTTTGATACTTGGAGAAATATAAAGAACTACTGTGCATCTTCTATGCAGAGTTCATTTGATTCTTGCAAATGCTAACACTACAACATCTTTAAAAGTAGATTTATCTAATTGTACAAACAGCAAGATAGATTTGGTTTTAATCAGCAAGATAGATTTGGTTTTGAGTATGATTTCAAGTTAGTCAAAAGTTTGAAAGAGAGTTCAAGCTCAAAAGACTACAAGAAAACTACAAGAAACTACAAAAATTATAAGTGGTAGACACCCAAGAGTTGTAGAGAAAGTAACAAGAAATTACAAATGCTTAAATTTACAAGTTCAAATTTGCAAGAGTGAAGTTTGTAATTTGCTTGTTTCAGTATATTTTCATATGATTGAGTAGAGTATTTTTTTTTTTTTACTGGTTGCTTGCTATCTAATTTTTAAATCCCCATCATTTATAGTTAGATTCCCGAGAAAAGTACTTCTTTGACAAATTGTTGAAGGTTCTTACTTGCAAAAAAGTTAGAACTTCTGTTGGTGATTTAGCTAAGAAAGAATCCTTCAGATCCTGTAAAGTTGCTGTGGTCGATAACAAAAAGGTGTTTTTGACTTTTAATAAAGAAAAGGTTTGTTTGGACTTTTTTCAGACAAACTCAGGTTGAATGAAGCAGCAACTGAAGTCTAATTAATGACAAAATGTCTGCTAACACAGACATCTCTTTATATTCTATTCAAGGTTACTTCATAATTTACTGTGTCATGGCACATGACAATAAATAATACTTATAGAGAATTCTAAAAGTATTATTTTAGAATTCTCTGCCTAGAAAATGACATTTTTAAACTAAAAACTTAAAATATGCATTTTTAATCAATTTTTTTTATTATAATTTTTTTTTCCAAATTTTTTTTATAAAATGATTGTTTTCAAGTTTTTGTTTAATTTTGCTTTTTTTGAGACCCAACATGATATACATTTAAAAAACTATTTTTTTGATCATATTAGGGGCCTGTTTTTTTCCTGGATCAAACACTTAACACCACCAATCACATATTGATTTTCTGTAACTAGTTTAAAATATCCATTCAGCAGCCATCTAGAAATCTTTTTTATGGTGGCCTAGATTTAAAAAATTTTGATAATTTTTATAATTAGCAGAACATTCATCAGAGATATAATAAATTTTATTCACTAAATAAATTTTATTGGTATTCACTAAATATTATTTACAGTTGCTCTGCAATTTTCTTTTGGAACTTCCACCCAAAACACATATCCTGATCATTTTCATCACTTAAAAACAGTACAACTTATGATAAATAATTGGTTTAGAAATTTTATTAAAATAAATAACAACTGGGTGAAATGTTGTTTATTTCAGTTGTAACCTTGTATTTCATCCTGTATTATATACAGAATGAAAATAATAAAATACATAATTTTTTTTTTAATTTCTAATACATTATCGTTCTCTACAAAATCTGTCTACTAATCTGTCTTTTCTACAAAATCTATAATGCATTCATTGTAACCTAAACTATTTTTAAGGCCTTTTAGATGGTGAGTTTGTTATTTATCAATATATGAATGAGAAGTAAATTTGAGTAATGTTAGAATTAAATAAAATAATGTTATTGTAAACTCTCAGTATTTTCCTATTGATTCCATTGAATTTCTTTTTTATTATCAATATCACTTAATTCCTCGTTTAAAAAGTCTTTAAGCTATTGAAAGAGAAATTCTAGATATAGAAGACTTGTTTTTAGAAATAGATAGTTGTGCCTCCACTTCGAAACCTGTGTCGTTCGCCATGAATATACCAGTTTTATTTTCAACTTTTATTTTTTTTATTCAAATAATATATTCATAATTTAAATAATATATTCACAATTCTTCTTAGTAAGATAAACAAATGAAATTAAATTACTATAGAAATTAAATTTACTAGATAGAAATCAACTAAAAAAGTTAAAAATACTTTCATGACGAGGAAGCGAAACTGCTTCATAATATCGCTAATGATGTTTAGTGAGTGGGCTTTTTAATTTTAATTAGTATTTAAAACAGAAAGTAGTATAACGAGTTTTTAAGAATGGCAACTTAAGCGAAAATAATTAGATTTAGTGAACCAATATCTAGAAACTTTTCTTTATATCTAATAACTTGCTATATATATTTATGTTCTGCTTGTTCATCCGCGAGTTATTTGTATGCATAGTTTGTGTTTAGTAACCAGAAACTTCTTACATGTTTGCTACATAATTAGTTTTATTAACTTTAATGATTATTAATAATTTCATTGAAAACGCAACTTTTTTTGTAAGTCTTTGTTTACAAATTAAATCGATAAAAAACAGATACACAAAATTACATTTACATAAAAAATACATACTCTTTAAATAAGTATATACTAATAAAATCTACAATTTATAATAAACTTTCAAAGTTTTGAAAATTCAAATAATATATTTAAAACATTTATTTATGTAAACAAATAATAATAGTTTATAATAATAGATTTATGGCTATGCAGATGTGGCTCCAAGAATGAGCCATAGAATTGATAATATATTCTTAAAACAATCTATGCTAGAAATCTCATAACGTAACAAATCGTGAATAATACAATTTCTAAAACATTTCAACAGAATACTCAAGAACTTTATTTTGCTTAGTCAGCATATTTTTTGAACCAATAGAATTAGTTTGTTCATTAGTTTGGCTGGTTTTTAGAGTTCGCGAATATTCTTTTTATTCTTCCACACCAAGATGTTTTGAGAATATTTAAGTTTTTTATGTTTCCATGTATGTCTGTAAAACCAAAATTTTTTGTTTTGTACATAAACTTAAATGTTCTCAAAACGACTAAAAAACCTGGTCAGTTTTTTGCAACTAAATATAATTTCCGTGGTCAGTATTCGAGAGCGATCGCTCCCGCTTCCCGACCAAGCCTTAAGGTGTCCATATACCATACGTACACTTTTGTTTTGACCCTCCTTGACCCTCTCCCCCTAATGCATTTTGCTATATGCTTTTTTGAGTACCTCTCACCTCCCTAAAAGTACTTACGCCTTTTAACCTACCTTTTATACCTACCTTTTAACCTACCTACCAAACATTTTATGATTTTTTTTTTTTTCAATTTAGTCTCCTTGCATTTAAAATTGACCCACTGCCCTCCATCTTATATTTGCAGTCCCCCTCTTTTCATCTGACTACATGCTTTATGGACGATCCCTATATATAACTCTTGTTACAGCAGGATTTTATTAACAATTCCGGCAAATCCGGTTCTGGCTGGAATTCAATATTTCCAATCCGGTACACCCCTATTAATTACTTTTTTCAGTTATGTACTTTATTATTAAACTTAAAAGTAACGCTATTGAAGAAAATATTAGCGTGGTTTCTTTTAAAGTTGTTGAAAATACATTTTAAATTTTAGTAAATTATTGTTTTTTTATAATAAATAAAAAAACTATCAATCGCATAGTTATTTTGAAAAAAAAATGCTGTAGTTATGCATTTGTTTTTAAGAATTTTAAGCAAACGCTAACGTTTGCTATAGTAATAGTAAGGAAACGCAACATTTTTTTTAACAAACATTTGCACATTTGTCGATTTATCGCGCCCTGATCACATACTAATTTTGATATTAAATCTTTTTAAATAACATTCCATTGAATAACATTTACAAGCAATTAGTTTTTTTTTTTTTTTTTTTAATTCATTTTCTCAAGACCATGAAAGCCACTACCGTCTAGGAAGTTACTTTAGTTGTGGTTTAACACTCTCTCAACTCTATAACTCCAAAACATGAACCTTGACAAATATGGCTGCTATGTGGAGAAATAAGTTTTGATGATGTTGGAGAAAAACCTTATGAAATGGGACAGTTTTCGTTAAATTTTTTTAAAGAATTGATATAGTTGTTTAATTTATGCATTAAAAATAGTATGATAACCATTAACTCTTGCAACATGGTGTACAAAAACAAAAAATCGTTTCTGCATATCTATTGGTGAAAAGAGTTTTTTATTGAACCAGGTTTTTTGTCCTTTTTATTGAGAACTACTTATTGAATGGGACAAAAAAGAAAAATTAAAAAAAAAAAGTCACTTGTAAGTTTTAAGCCAGTCAACGATAAAGTTTTTACCAATGTGCTGAAAACGTATATTATATATATATATATATATATATATATATATATATATATATATATATATATATATATATATATATATATATATATATATATATAATAGGAGTGCTGTGAAAATTTTTTATTTTATGGAGACATATCTATGTTTGTTTATTGAGAAACCAACAACACATTGTATTTTAAAAACTAAAAATTAGTCAATAAATTTTATTTAAAATAGAATAATTTATGGTTTTTTTTCTTTAATAAAACAAAAATATTGTAGTGTAAGAGCTTGGATATGATTCCCGTTAACCAATGAAAACAAGCTGTTCGCTGCAGCATTTCTTAGTTAATTATTACTCTGCTAAGTTAATAATTATGTTATGTAAGTATCTAATTTGCATTAAAAAACTCAAAAGCAAAGCAACTTATATATAAAAACTTATATCACATTTTAGAAACCCTTTGCAAACATTCTTTATTGTGAATGACATGCTGTGCTTTATTTTTATAAACTTAACGATATCCTCTTTTATTACCGTTAAAAATACCAAAATAATAAGGATTTTAGTCAATGAATTTTTTTTTTTTTAATTTGCGAAGGAAAAAATTAAAGCTAATAATTTGCTTTTTTTTAAATTTAAAAAAAAAAAAATAACAAAAAGAATCTCACATTAGATCTCTAAAATTACTGATTGATATAACTTTTAATATATACCACAATATCAACTAATACATGTTTTCCTATATGCAGTATATGATTTAAATAAATAAATAAAAATATTCGCTCCTCTAGGGAGGGGATATTTTTACACTCATGTTATAAAACTGAAAAAACTTTTTTTCTAAATTTGCTAGTATTATACTAGTAACTTAATAGGGTTTATTTGCATCACTTCATCTTCTGTGTTTATATAGATTATAATTGATATATTGCATGTAACTCTATATTTTTAGTAAAATCAGGCAAATCTACAGCTGTGGAGTGCACAGAGTATAAGTTAGAAGAATCCTCTTCTCGCATATGGGATAAAGTTTCAGATGTTGTTTGTGATACCGAGGTTGGTTGGGTAAGATTTAGTGCTGAATCTGGAGCAGAGATTGCATCTAAATGCACAAAGAACACCAATCCTATAACACGATTTGGGCAATCATGTGGAGCAGAATTTCGTGGTTGGATTATGGATCGACATCCTTCATTAGAAGAAGGACGTGTGCAACGAAGAGTATGTTTTTCATATGCAGACCAGTGCTCTTGTGAATTCTTTTCAAATATTTATGTTAGAAATTGTGGTGGTTTTTATGTTTATCGCTTTAATAAAGTGCCTATATGTAATGCAAGATATTGTGGTGCTCCTTCTAATTCACTTTCAAATGGTATACATCTATAGTTTATTCATTATTGTTACTTTAAAATTGAATCAATTATTTATATTATTTATATTACTTTTAGTTAATGATCCATCTAAGCCAGTCATTATTAAAAGCAAAGATTTGTGCTCAGTTCGCTACAATATATTACATGATCCAGATCGTTTGTGGTCGTTTACAAGTCCAACTGTTTCTAAATGTGATGCACATTTGTACGGAAAATATAGGTTTGGCTCTAAGTATACACCTTGGACAATTATAGAAGGTTGTAACTCTTCAGACTCGGCAATAGTGACCCATAGATGTGGATCAGAATACCAAGGTTATATGATAGGAAAACATCCCACTAGAAAAGGAGAGCTAGTGCAGCGAGTTATATGTTTTCAAACACCTAAAATTGCTTGTCAATGCCAGCATACTGTTTCAATAGATGTACAAAATTGTGGGGATTTTTTTGTATATGATTTTAAAAGTGTTCCATATTGCAACTCTAGATTTTGCATGGTTGCTAACAAATCAAAAGGTAACGATAATGGCTGTTTTTATTTATTGCAGATAGTATTATTATCATAAATATTTTTTTATTGCAACAAGTCTTAAATAGTTGTTGATAAATTTTGTTAGAGAACATAAATTTTTTTTATTGTTTCAATGTTTGAAGTTCATTACATTCTCTATTTAGCAATTACAATTGACGTTGATCGTCCTCCGTTATATGAAATTCCACCTCATGGCTACAATCCTGTTGCCATAAAACAAGAACAAAAAAAAGGTGCAAAAATTTATGTTTTTATATGAAATCTTAAATAAAATTAAAAAAAATTCAAATTATGTTTTGGATAATGTTATCATGTATTACGTTTTTTAGTGAATTGGATACTAATTTGCTAAGTGAAAAATTAATTGGCTGTAATTTATAATCGAACATTTTTTTATTTAGATAACAGTTTGGCAAGCACAACGACAGTATTATCGATAATTATATTCATTATTATTATTCTACTAATTCTACTTGTATTATTTATACTTTACATGATTTGGCCTGTATACAAAAGAAGGCGCGATGAAAAATTTTACAGTACTGCTGAAGAGCCTAAACCTTCGAGTAGTAATGGTGTTTTTTTTCGTGATTCAAAAGATAAAAAAGATAAAACCGTAGTTAATTCAATACCACCCTTTCCAAATGAACCTCCTCCACGGAAACCAGTTTCTGATCATGATTCAGAGATTGAAATGGTTCGTGGACCAGATGATGACTTGCAGACAATACCGGAAGGAAAGGAGCTGGATGATTCTACTGATGAATACCACATGCTAATGAAGAAAGAAGATTATAAGAAGCCAAGTTCTTACAATAATTTTGATACAGAAATCTAAACTTCTATAAATAATAAAAGACATCTTTTATTTCATCAAAAGACTTTGGTCTGAATCTTACGTGTAACAACAAATATTGTATACAAACTAATTTTATTTTTATAACATTGTTGATATAAATGTTTTTTCCTATATATAAGGGATTTTTTATTTGGTCTGTAAATTTGTACAGTGGACTTACCATTAAAAGAAATAAACCTTTGTTACTAAATTTTATTTTTGATCGTTCTTATGCTCGATACATTTATTATCAAAAATAATTTGCATTTAATAAAGTTAAAAGATTACAATTAAAAAAATTAAAAAAGCCAAAATTAACGTTTCAAATTTCATCTATGCGTGCATTTTATTTATTTTTTCGAATATCACTCTAGTTTTTTTTTTAAAAGTAATTCAGCTCTGAAAATTATAATATTAATTATAATAATAAGTTATTGTTATTTATGTTACAAGCCCGTTCTTAGTTTTTCTGTATGTTTACATATTGTAATCTACTCTCAAACGCTAGCTTTATAATTATTGACAGGTTTTAAATTTTCTGCTATAAATTTTTAGTTTTTGAAAGTCATGTAATGTTTCTAAGTTTTTATATTGAATAATCCTTGAAAATAATATGCTCTCGTTTCAGCATTTTTGTTTATTAAACATTTTGATACTTTAATTACAATTGTCTACACCGTTTAATTTTGGATATTATTATTTTAATTTTTAGTGTGTTTTTTAAATAGTTTTATAAATTATAGGTTTTATAATAAATGTTATTATTTTTTTATTATTTTATTACTCTTGTTTTATTATTGGAGCTAAAAAACATCTTCAAAACATCTTCATATAAAACATCTTCATATAAAACATCTTCATATAAAACATCTTCATATAAAACATCTTCATATAAAACATCTTCATATAAAACATCTTCATATAAAACATCTTCATATAAAACATCTTCATATAAAACATCTTCATATAAAACATCTTCATATAAAACATCTTCATATAAAACATCTTCATATAAAACATCTTCATATAATTGTTTACGTTATACGAAGTAGTAAAAGGTTTTTGCTATAAATTTGTTATACAACCATCGCAGAATCAGCGGTGTAATTTTTTGTAAGTACTGTGTAAAAATGAACATTAAACAAAAAGATAAATTACAGTACAGTTTAAACCTTGCACTTTTATTGACAAAGTATTGGATGATAAAAAATTTATACATTATTATATAATATTTAAATAAAATATTAGTTTAATATTTATTGGTTATTATAACAATATATTAAAGGCGTATTTTGTAAAACCACTTTTATTTGCAATAACCTCGTCAATGTGTAGTAGTAAACTTGCGATTAATTTTTTCTTTATATAGTTTTCTGTCAACTCGGCGTGTCTCTGTCAACTCTCCGTTATTTTGACAGATCTTAATCTTTTCTATAAGAAGTTTCTTGTTAGTTATAATTTATTTTCCAATACCTCGCTTTAGTCCCTTAGCTCAGCTCCCAAACGTTTTCAATGAGGTTAAAATCAGATGAGTTACCTGTCCTAAGGCAAATAATCCGTTAGGGTTAGGGTTGGGGTCTAGGCAAATTTTTTCTGTTTTAAATAAGTGATAACATTTTTTGTTGTGTGGCAAGTTGCACCATCAAAGTTGCACCATCTTGCATAAATATAATATATTTGGCCAATCTGCTATTTGGGGTAGCAACTGATTTCAGAAGTTCTTTACTCTGGCCCTGCCTCTTTGTCCCAACCACTTTGCACAGATGTTCTGCTCCTTGCCAAAAAATGACAGACCAGACTATTACTGAGGGTAGATACTTAACTGTTTTGAACAATGCAGCTGGAAGTAAATCTAGAAAAATACTTATTTAAAGTGACAAGGACATATTTTTGAAAAATTTATGAATAATTTAAAAATGTGAATAAAAATATCTTTTCGCTCAACAGACTAATGACGATGAATTCAATCCTTAACAGACCAATGACGATAAATTCAAGCCAATTCAGTACAAACTCTTCTCCAGCATCAATTTTATTTTTCTTACTCGTATTAAGTTTTAGTGAGAAATCTAAACAAAGTGTACAATGCTGAGATTATTCTCTAATTTAAGTTCTTTCTCATTGCTGAAAATTTAAATTTAAAACATTAGAAAATAGATAAAATTCGCTATCTTTCATCAATATATATGTAAATAAAAAGTCTTTTATGTAAAGATAATAACTTACTCATTATCTTTAAGTTCACAAAAAAAGTTAATGAAACATAACAGCTTTGAACTAAATCACATTAAAACTTCAATCAAACTTGCAAATAAAATAACCTCAAATGTTTAAATGCAACCGATTGACTGAAAGGTGCTTGCTAGTCAGAATTGCCAATTGATAAAATTTACTTAATCTTTATCAATGGGTAACAAAAATATATTAAACTTTACTTAATATGAAACAAAAAACTAACATCAAAAAACAATTTAAAAAAATCGTTACACAAGTAATAATTAAGAGAAGAAACAAATATAAAAGTATAAAAATAATGAACGCGGATACTTTGCAGAACACCAATCAGGTCTTGTCATCGAGAATACTTGCAGAACACCAATCAGGTCTTGTCATCGAGAATCGCACATAAATTAAAAACCTAATTAAATTTAAATAAATACATAAATTCTATTAAAAAAAAACATCAAATAAAAATATATCGTATTACATTTGAGCTGATAAATAGAGGTAAATTAAGACGATAAACATTGGGCTGATAAATTTTAATTTTTAATAAAAGAGGCTTGGCATAAATAAATCTTTCAAATAAGTCTTTAAAACTGATAAGACGAACAACATTTGTTCGTCTTATCAGTTTTAAAGACTTATTTTAAAGTCTTTAAAACTGATAAGAAAAATTTTATTGGCCAATGACAATGAGAAATATAATTGAGTTAGACAACGTTTGTTTAAAGCTATTCTAGCTTTACACAATATTCCAATACCTTTAGCAATCTTATTATTTATATACTTTTAGCAATTTTATTCAATTCCTATACTTTTAGCAATTTTATTCAATTCCTATATTTTTAGCAATTTTATTACACTAAAATTCAATGTGATTTTTACAACTTAGGTTTTCATCAACTTAGGTTTTCATCAACTTGGAAAAAATGTTTATAAATGTACTAGTTACTCTTTTTATTTAAATAAAAATAAAATAGTAATAAAAATATAACAATAAAAATAAATTAGTAATAAAAATATAACAATAAAAATAAAATAGTAATAAAAATATAACAATAAAAAGTATCAATAAAGAGGTAACTGTTTTGTTTTAAAAGTTGGATGAAAAAGGGATCATTTTTTCTATCAAAGTTGCGTTTGGTATCTTATCTAAAAGAACTTTTCACTAAGCACTAGAAAGCATATTAGGTTTCATGGAGTGTCACCTGGAATTATACTGGTAAAGATCTGGTAAATGCCAAAGTACTTTTAAATGAAATTTAAAATATATTAATTATTTTTGATTTAGTTTACGTCTGTATAAAAATTTTTCTTGTAAACACATTTAACAAAGGTGGGCATGAGTTGTCTAAATTTTTGGGTTTTATCTTTCCCCTTGAAAAAAAATTTGCTTCAATCCTTTTATTTTTCTAAGGCAACTTATTTAACAATGTAATAAAACTGAAAAACATTTACAAAGTATAATTTCTATATAAAATCAAGCATTATAATCTTTTAATTGCAAAATCAAACAACAGCAACTTTTAATCTTCACAATTTTTATGATTTATACTGTTTTTAAATCGTTGCCATTTAGCCTAAAATTTTGTATGAACCCCTTCACCACACTGTTCTGCATACTTTGACAAGCTGCATCCTGCATGCTTTACAAAAGGAAAAACATAGCAACATATAATGTGGATTTTCCATAAAACTATTAGTGTCTTTCCAAGTGGCGAAGTTGTTTCTTGTAGGCATAAAAAAGCATCTCAAAATAATGATACTTTGTGTTCTTAGTGAGAATCAAGATTTTTTCCAAAGCTTCTTTTAAAGATTTAAAGGTTCTTAAGCTTTGGACTACAGGTAGTAGATAGGTAGACTACAGGTAGTAGATAGGTAGACTACAGGTAGTAGATAGGTAGACATGTATTTTGTACACAGGTAGTAGATAAAATACTTTATGTTACACTTTAAGTTGAAGTGAATGAAGCAATTTTAAAATTTAACCTGCATTATCACCACCTCATACAACTCCATAATATCCTCCTTTAATTATATAATGTTTTTTTAACCACAACTCAAAACCATTCCACTTAGTTAAGATAATCCTGCTATCTTATCCACAACTCCAACAAGAAGATGTAGCTCAGGCGGAACATCTAAATTTTCTAGCAAAGTATTTTTATCCATGTTAAGATATACTAGATGTTTGTTCACAAATTTAGGCTTATTCATTCATGGTCGAAAATAAATTTACAAATTTTTTTTTGACAAAAAGCGGCACACCAGGCCTCTCTCTTATGAAAATACAGTTTTTTTAACTTCAGCTTAAGTGAAAATGCCGTAGCAGTGTTTGAAATTGTTCAAGTTCTTTGCGTTCACCGCATTTTGGGTTAAAGAATTCCATAATCTTACAACACGGTTGGTGAAGAAGTTGATTCTTTTAGCGCAGTTTCGGACAAGTTGTGTTCTTAGTTCTTTAGTGTGTCCACGCGGCCGAAAACTGTATTTTGAAGATTCTGTGTTAGGTTGAAGTTGTGGGACGTGAAAGTTAACTTTATCAATTTTGCTCATGATTTTATATTGTTTGATAAGGTCTCCTTTTTCTCGTCGTTCAGTTAGAGTTGTCAGGTTAAGGCTTGATAGTCTTTGAGTATACAAAAGGTGTTTAAAGGGGCAATATGTTTTGTGGCTTGGTGTTAAACTTGCTCAAGTTTGGCAATGCCATGAGCTAAAAACGAGTTAAAAACTGCGAATTCTAAGTGTAGGCGAACGTACAAAATATACAGTGTGCGTGTATATATAATGTAGAACTTCGACCTCGAAAAGCCTTCTTGAGCCTGCCAAGCATAGATTGCTCGTCATAAAAACGCCTAGGTCTCGTTCAAATGACGTGCATGATAGCTGGTGCAGTTGGCCGTCCAGGTTAATTGTTGTATAAATTACAGTCAATTTTTTTTTATAGCTGCGCCCAGTGTGCATGATTTTGCACTTGTCGACATCAAA